TGAAATCAATAGACCAATACACTGGTTTTTAAACAGAAGCTGATGACAATTTGCTAGGAGTACTTTCATTGTTAGTACCTACATGACACGTGGTTAGACTGGATGACCTATGTGTCACTTTCAACTCTATAATTTTAAGACAACTTTTTAAAAAATCTGTTAGAGGTATATACCCAAGATATTTAAGACTCGTGCCAGAGCCTTTGCACTTCGATCTTTATATCCTTGTCAGTTTTTCCAGTTGTTTCTCTTCAATCCTGCTGTTGCTTGGGATCACAACATCGACGATCCATACTTGGTTTTTAACATGATCATGAGGTCAGGAGTATTGTGCTCCAAAACTCTGTCAGTCTGAATTCAGAAGTCCCAGAGTAGTTTGACGTGTTCATTTTCTGTAACTTTTTAAGGCTTGGGGTTCCACCAATTCTTTGTCACAGGCAAATGGTATTTGTGGAACAAGTTCCAATGAATCATCTGAGCAACAGTATTATTATTATTATTATTATTATTATTATTATTATTATTATTATTATATGTTTTAGCTGCTTGCAATTCAGTATCTATTGAAGTCAGTAGGTTCAGTTAATAATAATAATAATTCCCTTTGATTAAAATGGAAATAAGTTCAAATACCCTAGATGTAGACAGAATTATTGTTTTTATAAATGAAGCTATTTGAAAGTCAACATGGTATAGCGGTTTGACTGTCAGACTACAAATCCATACTTAGTCATGAAATGCATTAAGAGAACAAGTCATATTATGTGGGGGAGGCAAACCTCATTTGAACATATCTTTCCAAGAAAACACTTTGAAGGAACATGACAAGAGTAAACATATACTATTTTATCTATTTTCTATTAGGGATCAAAGTGTATTGTTCATTTAAAAAAATACTAAGCTTTAATAGGAGAGAGGTTCCCAGTAATGCAGCACATGTTTTAGAAGACCTAGAAGGAATCCCAAAGTGGAGCAAGGAAAGAAATCTACCTGAAACCCTCAGAAGCTACTTTTAACACTACTGAATTAGATGGAAGATGGATAGAATTGGCTTATTATTGGTGATTATTATTAACCACAGTGAATGAAAGTATATTGACTAGAATCCAAATTACAGTACTATGAAACTGGTTCCATAATTCTTGGCTTGTTTGTTAGTAGCAGTTCTCCCTCCCTCAAGGCATGTAGTTTTGAAACTCCTGGAACTTTCAAAAGAATTTGTTATATGGTATGAGGGTCATTTGTTCAAAGAAAGAAAATCCACTGAACTTCTTGTGAGAACCTAAACTACCATACAGCGTAAATTACTGGAATAGAAAAACTGAAGGAAGATGAAAGATAGATAGCTTTAAAAAGAAATAGTCTCCTTTCATTATTTATTGGAACACAAAGTACAAAGTGAATTCTGGATTGTCTTTGGTATCACAGTGCTATTTAATGTATTAAAAGAAAGAGAAAAGAGGCTATTTTCTTGAGATTTTCTTTCCAACAAATTTGACAGCAAAGTAACAAAATCCATGAGAATGGTGCTTAGGTAAATTATGAGATTGAAGTTTTAGGGTTGTCATGGAATAATTATATGCACCTTTCATAAACAAGTATTGATGATAATCCAAATATCCTAGCATTATTCAGGCAATTAATGTCTAATGAATAAAAATCCACTATCTTCAATCAGGTGACAGATAGCAAGGTTTTTGATAAGGTATTATAAGTGTCTTTGTTCTAACAGCCATTTTAAGGTCAGGTGTACATTGTCTTGGCTGGCTTAAATGCTTCCTGCTCTGAAATATCAGAAGATTCTTTGTTGATTTCTAAAAGAACACGGCTACTTCTCTAGAAGTTGCAACCCTGAACTTGGCCTTTTTAAAGTTTAATAATAACATAAAATAGGCATAATTCATTTGTGAGCTTCCTGCTATACAATCTAATATGACTCCAGTAAAAGTTTATATAATTACAGATTATATAAAATATATAACACAAGCACATTGATAATGGAAATCAGCTATAAAGGATATAAATACACAAAAGAGAGAGGAAAAGAGGAATGGAATGAGAGAGAGAGAGGAACAGAGGAGAAGAGAGCGGGACAAAGAGAGCGAGGTCAGAGGTCAGAAGTCTGAAAGAATACATAACCCCCCCTATTATAAAAGGTTTGCCAGCTACCAGTCCATTTCAAGTCACAATTCAAAGTCCTGGATATGACCTAAAAATCCATATAAAGATCCAATACAAATCCAGCCAAACTTTGACTCTGCAGGAGAGACCTTTCTCTTGGTTCTGACCTTGTCAGAGGGATATTTGGTGTGGACATGAGATATGGCTTTCTTCCAAGACTTAAGAACTTATTTTTGAGGAAAGTTAAACTGGCCATCTCCTTGTTCTTTTGCTCACAGATGAAGACTTTCTACTCAGGCAGGATTCCATTAACTGACTGATTAAAATAGAAAGATGCTCTAAATGGATGAGTACAGTTTCTAATATTTTAATACAGTGTATCATTATTGAGGATTTTTTTATTAATGATGTAGTCTAATTATTATTTTGATAAGTACAATTCATTGTGTTTGTAATTGTAGATTTTACAAAGTACATTAAAAGCTATCTTGGCTCCTCACCAGGTAAAAAAACAATGTAGATTGATCAAGCAAGGAAGGAAACACATAAAAAGGAAGCAACTAAATGATAAAAATAAGTGCGATCTTCATGCAGAAAATGTATTTGTGTGGAGCACTGTAAATTAAAAGAATGCTCCCTGTCAGGAAAATAATGTTGAAACAGCCAAAAACAACAGCAAGTCTGATGGAGGATTCATGTTCTACACTAGTTTAGTCCCCAAAGACTTAGGATCTTATCCCATGTAACTCCCCCCTCCTCCATTTTCTCTCGATTTTCACATGCTGACCATCCTATGACGCATGGCCACTTCTGGCAACCACCTGTGGGATTCCATCTTGTCACTGTGAAAAAATGGAGAGAAGACTCCTGATTGAAAAAAAAGGAGGGAAGCGGGAAGAAGATGAGGAAAGATCCTCAGATAACTGGCCATTCCTGAAAACAGACCTTGCCTGGGTAATATGAGTCCCCACTCTTCCAAATGTTTTCCCCTTGCTTCCTCCCATTGGGATAACATCCTTAAACTTCTGAAGCCTTTGTTAATGTACATAGGGGTGACAATGTCTTGATGATTATGTTGTCTATGGAGGACTGCTTATCCATGTGGCCAAGGCTATTTTAGATAACGATCAAATTTTGTCAGCAGATTCTGATTGTTTAATCTTTCCAACGTGTCTTTCCAGAATTAGAACCAACCCAGAAAAGAAGGGTTGTCAATTCAAATGATAGACTCACATAGTTTGTTCATTCCCAAATACTTGGATCATTTTGATGCAATCTTTTCTATCTTGCACAGTAGAACTCATAATGCAATTGAAAGAAATATTTGTTTCAGTAAACACTGTTGGCAGTTTTTCCTCGCATAATAGTCCTCACTACATAAGTCACGCCCCCATTTTTGGACTGGTAAAATTAGGATTAATTGCATAATAGTCACAACCTTAGTTTACTCACCCACACTTGCAGCCAAGTGAAGTCCCATAGCTACAAGGGGTCAAGTGTGCAGGCGAGTTAAGCTGCACTCATATTTCAACATGTAATTGTTGCATGTCACTTTATTGCAGTAAGAAAAAAAGATAAAAAGTGCAATTATTATGCAGTGAAATGCTGGTCCTTCACAGGAGAGAAATCTCTGAATGGAATCAGAAATCATGACAATGTATTAACTAGGATTCTCTGAAACACAGATTTGTTAATTGTACAAGAGAAAGTATATATTTCCCCATTCTATATTGCAGTGTAATGTAGTGCATTTCATTCATCTTCTTCTTTGTGTATTTTAAAGTGAGCTTTATAACATATTACAATTGGTCTGCCACATAGTTTGTACAAACAGCAGCCACAGCAATCTTACTGAAAATGATATATGCTGAGATGAGGTAAAATCGTCATACACTGAGCTGATGCTGCTCAGATGTGAGTTTTGGAACTAACGTATCCCAGTTTAGAACTACCAGAGCCATTACAAGCAAAACCAGGTCACTGGGTTGTTGTAGGTTTTTTTGGGCTATATGGCCATGTTCTAGAGGCATTCTCTCCTGACGTTTCACCTGCACCTATGGCAAGCATAGATTTTAATAAATAAAATAAAAATATTAACACTCAAATGTAACAATTTCTATTGTAAAAAGTCAGTAACTTTAAAAAGCGATCTCTCTTTCTAATCATTCCTAACTTACTATCTATCTATCTATCTATAGGGTAAAGGAAGGAAGAGACAGAAGTTGGGAACTTGCACAGATTATTACAAGCCAAAGATGTTTCAACCTTGCTTGATCTGGTTTCAATGTATTGTCGAACACTTTCATGGCTGGAATCACTGGGTTGTTGTAGGTTTTTTCGGGCTATATGGCCATGTTCTACAGGCATTTTCTCCTGATGTTTCGCCTGCACTATGGCAAGCATCCTCAGAGGTTGTAAGGTCTCTGGATCAATTTGTAGTACCCCTTGATAAGTTTCATAGTATATATAGGGATTCCCAATTCAGAATTTCATCAGTACATTTTGCTGAATGCATTCCTTTCCACAGAATGTAGTTTTCTCTCTCTCCAAACTCCAGAAGATAAAGATTGTTCTCTAAAGTAAGGCCGGCATTAACTTTCTCATTTTTTTCTATAGGCTGAAAAAAGTGGTTGCAAAGAAATTGGTCAGGACCGGTATTATTATCCTTGCTTTACAGTTGGGGATATGGAGTCAGAGAGGTTCTATGGAAAGAAGGATGATAATGTGGTTAAAGCAGAATATATCAAGAAAATGCATCTGAGCTATTTGTGGCTCTGCCTTCAGGTGACAAAAGGGGAAAAGGAAAAGGAGAGAATCACTAAACCTCTCTGTCCATGATTCCCTTGTCTGTAAAATGAGAATAATAATGCTTTGCTTACCTATCTCACAGAGGATCTGCAGGTCTTAAAATCACTATTCTTTTATAATCCACTTTGAGATCCACAAATGGCAAGGCCTAGAGAGGTGGAAAGCATCATGGTCATTACAAGAGTTTATGAAAGAATAAAGAATTGTAGGTCTTGTGATCACACTATAAATATTTTTTGCCATACCTCCTCAAGTTTTTTTTACAGTCACCTGTAAATTTGCTAAATTTGCCAAAATGTAGTGAAGAAGATAGCTTCATAATGATCCTTTCCACATGATGGCTTGATACATCTTACTGCACTGAATTTTATCATACAAACACACGCATACATTAAATAAACATCTGTAATGAAAAGGATTAAGAAGGGGGAAAGCAGTCATAAAATATTATCCTTAGCACGTTTGTTTGAAATATAACATATTCACTTTTTCTAAAGGGATGAACTATGCTATGGTCTCAAAAACATGTACTGTATTTTGCTATCTATTCAAGAGTTTATTCAAAGGAATAAGAGGTTTTAAAAGATATAATGAGAGGACAGTATATAATATAACACTAAGGGAGCTGTAAGCATAATGCTGAACACTATTTTTATATTTATTTCTTATTCAAATTTATATCCTACTGTTCCTCTTAAGTGCAGGTTCCCAATGTTATTTAAAAAGCACAAAATCAAATAGAAATGTTGTTAATTTCAGAGAGTGAAATGTAGTCATGTATATAAAATAGTGACCTCATCTTGACCATAATACAGAAGAGAAAACCTTCATCAGTAGTTTGCAGGAAAAGAAGGAATATATTTACTGAGCACAGGTCCTATAGATGGATATTTACTAAGGCATATACAACACCAGTGTCATACATTTCAATGCATAAAAATGTTTCCATGAAAAAACAACAAAATGACATGCATATTAAAATTATCCACCCATACATTATGGATATCCATAATCAGGAAAAAAAAATGCAGTCATGGGCCTCATCAGAAAGTTCAGGTGAAGCATCCTGCTTTGTCTCGCCTCCAAGACAAAAAAAAGGGGCAGTGAGGTGAATCCATTGCCCCACGCACATTTTCCTCTCTGCAATGCTTTCCCCATCACATGGGGGAATCTAAATCAGCATCCTAGGATGCTTCCACACCATCTTCAGGACTGAGATCCACTCTGACTATCAGGGTGGGCACTCAGCCTCAGTCTGGGATAGAAGCGTAATTGGATGTTTTCCGCAGAATACGGGAAGCTTCCCGCGTTGTGCTAGCTCCAATTAGGTCTAATGACAAAAGGGCAAAAAAGTGGTTTAAACCAAACATGTAACTTGGTAAAGGAAGACACTTAGGACCTTGGCACATTGAGGTCCAAAAAGTGGGTGACAGAAGGGGAATTCATTGGTGAATCTGGCAGGCAGTGGGGAAAACTGTTACCCTTCATTGCCCACATCACCGCTTTCCTCATCACATGGGAAAAAGTGGCAGTGCCCAGCTCTCTCCCCCCCCCCCCCCCCCCCGCCCTTTGCTCACCCCATTTTAATCAATGAGAACATGGGAAGCCTTCCGTGTTCTCAATGCTCCATCCTAGGACACTTCCAGTATGTAGCCAGGAGAGAGCCCCACTGGACGTAGATTTGGATCATGTGATGGGCTCCGTTGGGCTCCATCCTGCCTCTAAGATGGAGTCCAAGTCCAATGTGATAAGATCCTAAATTCCCCCTGCATGACATGGGATTGGGTTAGATGGCATTTCTTATCTCTTTCAACTTCATGATTCTATTATTCCTCCTTGCTCTTTCTTTCTTTCTTTCTTTTTTGAGAATCCATGGCCCAACTGCTTCAACCATTGTCAATGAATATAGCTCTTCAGAATCTATCATCTAAAATTAAGTTATTTTTTCTTTGTTATATCTGGCACTGCTTTCCAATATACATTTCTGTGATTATTTAAGGGGCTCCAACAAAATGCTAACAGAAGGAAAGATCAAAGCCATCTCCCCAAACATTGCAGCAGATCACTGGTTCTTGCATCGAGCCTGCAGCCCACAAGGAATGGAAGCAACCGCCTCCACACCATCTTTAGTATTATACCAAATGTGTTAAAAATGCTAAGGAAGGAAAAAAAGGAAAGCGGAGGTCTTTCTTGTGTGATGAAGAGCTCTTGTGGACTTGTACTCAGGCTGGGGAGAAGCATATTTAATCATGAATCCAAGGGAAAATGTGTTTTTCAGTGTATAGAAACCTCAGGGATTTTGCAATCAATGTCAAGAAGCCCCGTGGTCAATCTCCACTAGAAGTGAGATGAAGTTTCAGCTATATGTGTTCAGCATATGGCCTGAGAAGGATACTTACATAAATGAAAAGAGAAATTCAACACAAGCAGGGAGCTGTGGCACTTTAAAGGAAATGCGGTGATATGAGCATTTTATGGATTGACTTATTTTATTTGGTGTTGTAATGATAAATGGGTCAGTGTAAAGAGAAGAGAGGAAAGGAATCAACATTCAAACAGTTTGCTTCAAATCATTGTTTTCACTGGCACTACATTTGTGGTTGCTGGAAGACCGAAATGAAGTGACACTTCCTCCCAAGTTCTCCACTGTGATTATATATCTACTAGTGTGGGCCTGAGGCATTGTGTTCTATGAAACAGAGCTCAAACAGTGCTAGTACAGTCACTGGAAGAAGCCTTGCTATACTATTCAGACACCAATTTCTGCCTTCATCTATGCCAAAGGTGAATAAATTGACGCTCTTGGGCTGCATAGCACCCAAGGCAGCCCACCTGTTTACTCTGGACTGCCCCTTTTCTGGCAAAATAAAGAGTCGGCTTCCTTTCCCAACCTATCAAGATTGGTGAAATACACAGAGACTCCCACCACTTTTAAATATATATCAATATAATCAATGTGCCTTTGAATAATTGGTTCACTAGATGAATTGGCCCTTCTAGCCATAACTTAATATCTGACTCTTGCACTTTACTATTGTCCCTGCCCCTGTAGTTGTATTACACTAATTGACTTGGTCCTTCTAGTCCTAATTCATCATCTAGCTCTTGTACTTTTCCATCAGTATTGTCCATGCAGTTGTATTGTACAAGCCCTTACCGCACCCCTTAGTTCTGAAATGTCCACTATGCTAGAGTATTGGTTGTTGTACGATGGTTTATGTTTTTATGATGCTTTGTATATATATTTTTATTGTGTTATATTTTAACTCTGTTTGACTGGGCTTGGTCCCCATGTAAGCTGCCCCAAGTCCCTTTGGGGAGACTGTGGCAGGATACAAAAATAAAGTTATATTATTATTATTATTATTATTATTATTATTATTATTATTATTATTATATATTCAAAACCAAAAATTAATTTATAGTCCCATCCAATTTGAAATAGCCCCTGGAGGATTCACCCAACGTAACATTCCCCTCTAGACCAACAAAAGAAGTAATTTCATTCTTTGGGGGAAAAAACAGATAGTAATTTTACCATTTTTTTCTTGCTATGAAAAAGTGCAGTAACCAAATATTTTTCACGTTTTGAGCTTTATTCTGTACAAAATTAACACATGGGTATTTGTGTATGCAGAAAACAGCATATTTCGGCACAGTAAAAAGTAAAATTAAATGAAAAGGAAATGTAAGTTTTGTACAGAGCAAGTTCTGAACTGTGAAACTTATTGACAGTAAACAATATCTATTTCTGAATAATAAAAAAAATATTTCAGTCCCTTCCACACATTTGACCTATGCCTACAGTGGTGTCATTAAAACTGGACACTATTTCTTTGAGGAGAGATTACTCTTAGCTACAGTTAGAAAAGTCTACCATAAGCACACTTTTGCAGCTATATCATTTTCAATGATATAATACAGAAGAATTAACACTTGAACCGAAAAAGATGGACATAACTTGATTATTCAGTAAACAATTGTTGAACTTAATCTTGTTTGTAGAGTTTTATTTTGGGGGGATTATAGTAATTTAGGGCATACCGATGGTCACTGGGAAAATAGCCAGACACATTTAGTTTCTCATTAGATCTTCCTGGTGTGCCATCATAACACCACTATTTTGAACTAATCAGCAGTATAGGCTTTCCCTCACTGAATGAGACTTCCACAAAACTCTAAGTATTGCCATTATTTCTAGGAAACATCTTATCCTTCCTAGAGCTAAAATAGTTTCCAAATTCATAAAATCATAGAGCTGGAACACACCATAAGAGCCATTCAGTCCAACCCCCGCCATGCAGGAACACACAGGCAGCGTAGACTCATATAATCCAGTTCAAACAGATAATGTGGATTATCGGCTTTGATAATCTGAGTTATATTGCAGTGTAGAAGGGGCTAAAATCAGAGCACCCCCAACAGATGGACATCCAGCCTATGTCTAAAGGCTTCTATTGATTCTACAAGGACACAGCAGCCTCTATATTCATCTCTTCCATCAGCATTGGTAGAAATAAAGTGCCTTTGCACAATTCAAAATGTTTTTTTCACATGCAACCACTAGCTCTGGTGGTGACATTTCCTTTACAATCCTGCCTGCTGCAATGGACCTAAACTAAAAAGCTTCAAGGGCACATTCCTAGAGGAGAAATAGCTCTGAGAAAGCATTCTTATTCTCCATGCCCACAGTCATCACTCCCAAATGAAGATGTTCCTGCATTTGAACTTGAAGAAAAAGAGAAGTCCTGTAATCCCTCAAATCAAAAATGCACTTTAGGGCACTTTGGTCATCTCAATCGGTGGATTTCACTACTTACCTATGAAATTTCCACTGATTCCATCTGTCTTCCTTAGAGGGTACATAGTAGGACAAGATACCACATACAGTTTTCATAAAAAATATTATTTTCTGTTGAGCTCAAGAAGAGGGGCTGCATAGTTCTCCCATACAATACCTCTGCAAGATAGATTGGGCTCAAAAAGAGCATCTGGCCCAGTGGACTACTTAGCTGAGTAAACATTTGAACATCGGTCTCCCCAGTCCTAGTTTTACAACTAACTGTATCCTTGCAGTTAATATAATAACTAAGCAGTGGAGTTGAACTTTGCCTACAAATCACAGACTGATACAGCAAAAACAAATGT